TGCCCTGTTGGCGTGTGTACAACAGGTAACCCATCCGTGTTTCTCTGTTGCATTGCTGTTTCTCTCTCTCTCTCTCTCTCTCTCTCTCTCTCTCTCTCTCTCAAAGCAATGAAAAAAATGTCCCCGGGTGAGGCTAAAAATAAATAAATAATAACAAGCCCTCAAGTTCTTAGAGGGGAAGAGCCCGCGGGAATTAAATCTTCCAGCCTGATACTGAGAGTGGTCATGGTGGGGAATTGCTCCCAACTGCTTCTGAACCGTGTTCTGTCGTCTTCGGGTAGGAACGGAAGCCACTACTTTTCCTTTTTCTTTGTTGTCTTTTTTTTTTTTTTCCTTCTTTTGTCAGCATCGTTGGCTTGGGCTGTCTCCTATGGCAGCTGCTGGCCCCCCATGAATATTTACACTTAGATCAATTAAAATTGAGTATAAATGTAAAAGTCGTTTTCTCAGTTGGACTAGTCACATTTTAAGTGCCCAGTAGCTTATCAGACAAAGAGGATATAATGGTTTAATCAGACAGATGAGAGGTGATCACTCAGGCTTTTGCCTAATGCTTATTCTGGGGGATGGAGAAAAAGATAATTTCTGTCTTCTTCAGATTTCTTTTGCACTAAGACATCAGATCGGTGAATAAAAATAAAGTACATTAAAAAAAATTACTACCTGAAGGGTCATTATCATGTCATTTTAGAATATTAGGGATGAAGATGTTATCTAAGCACTTTCCTGGATTTACGAAAAGTCGTAAGAAAGCTCAAGAATCAGAATGACATTAACTTTCTTAACAGCAGTGGTGGAGGCTGGCAAACAGCCTGCGCCTGGGAGTCTGAAAATAATTTTCACTCAGAATTTCGAAGTCATTCCTTTACCAGTGGCTCCTTAAGATAGTACAGAATTATCTGTTTGTACAGGGTGGGGCAAAAGTGGGTTTACAGTTGGGAGTCCATGAAACGCAGGATTCATTCTTGTATGATTGTTTATCGATGATTATATTTTCCATGTGAGCCACTGTAAATCTACTCTTGCTCTGCCTTGTCTTAAGGAGATTGGTAAAACTGAGCTCTTCACACGTCGCCTCTCAGGGAGCTACTACACAGTGTGTCCCACCAAAAGGAGACAGTGGCTCAAGAAGCGGGGGCATTGGGAACCCCAGAAACAGAAAGAGACAGAAGGAACGCTCAAGATGTCCGCGTTGTTGCGGGGCTTGTAGGCAGGCCTAACGCCGAGCAGTGCAGCGTGGAGCAGAGGCGAGAAATTTCAGCGGGGAGCTCTGGCGTGTACGTAAGGGCAGAAAGACACGGAACTGACAGGCTATCCAAGAGTTTTGATCATGTGAAAAAAATGGAATTGAAAGATTGGGGAGATTGTTGGAACAGTTTCCAAAGAATATGAAGGAAACTAAGGAATAAAAATGGAGGCAACTAACAACCCAGGGAAACACAAAAAACCTGTAGGAAAGGAGTTGTTACAATTGCAATCATGCTCTACTGTTTCTTTGTAGTGTCCACGCCATTGTCAGAACAGCATGTGGAGGGTGTAGATGTAACCCCAAATAGTTACACCGTTAGAAAATGGGGGAGGGGGCCTGCCTTGAATTTTAAAAACCGAGAGGCCTCACCTGGATGTGGAAAATCAAGTCCGTTGTATCTCACGTCGATGGGGACTATTGTCAGTGTGTTGTTTGCAAACATCACAGTCAATACCAGGGAGTGCCACCAACCCTAACAACACTTCTAAGGTTGGAGAGTGGTTGGTTTGGGAGAGAGAATTGGGGGTGGATGGTGCTAAAAAGCTTACAAATAAAAAGAAGAGCCTTTTGCCTCGCCTGTATTTTACATTTTACAAGTATGTACGTGTATTACTTTGAAAAGAATACAATGATTTGGAAGATGAAAGTATATAGGCTCTACTGCCTATGAAACTACAGAAATTTTAGTGTGATGAACCTTGGCAATGACTGATACGTGGGCCAGACAATTCTTTGCTGGGGGGGAGGAGGGCAGGTCCTGTGTCCCGTAGGAGGCTTCGCGTTCTTCCTTCCGTCTGACACCTAAAAATGTCTGCAGGCACTGCCCACCGACCCTGGGGCCGACATCGGTTCCCTTGGAGAACCGCCGACGTAAAGGATTTCACACCTGTCATTGAGTGCGTCATCTCAGACCCACGCTCGGTCTGGGGGGCCCCGGAAACGCCGGCCGCAGGACGCAGACCTGGAACCGTAGCCAGGGACGGGGTTCGGAATCTCTGCGTCCCCTGCGGTGCCCGGCTCAGCCCCGGGGCGCGCTCAGTGCAGAGGAGGAGGACCCAGGAGGGAACTGCAGCGTCTCTCCGTCGTGCTCCGTGGCTCTGAAAGCACGTTTTAGGTCTTGCTCGTCGTTTTCATGATGGTACAGCTTGAAATTCTCTGCCGTGGAAATGTCAGTCCTCGTCGTAGCAACGGGGGAAAATATTGCCCGCCATGGCTGTATTCCTCTGCCCAGGGCTTGCAGGGCAGGGGAGTGCCCATCGGTCCCTGATCCGCGCCTCCCTCCCCAGGCTGTGCTTACGCAAGTTCTCGGCTGGGCTCTCTGCGAGCGTGCTGCCTTGCATTTCCGAGGGAAGTCAACGGGAAAATGGTTCCTCGGATTTTGTGACATGGATGAAACTCATCAATAATTTAATACCCTCATTTCACAGCTCAGGACGCTCTGTCCGGAGAGAGTTTCTTCTCCTTAAGGAGGGGCAGAGTGAGGCCTGTAACTCTGCTCTTTTTTTTTTTTTAACTTTTTGGAATGCAGTGTTCGTGCACCGTGAGGCTTTGCACCCCTGTGAAGTGTTCTGAGCGTGGTCCGTGGCGGACGTGAAGCCTTAACTGAGAGAAAATGGAAGAAAAAGAGGCAGGAAGGGCAGTGGCTCTTATCTTTCCATGAGGGGCCCCTTCGGCGCAGTGCCTGCTGGTCCCGACTGGACCACCCTGGGGGTAGAGGCTGAGCCGATGTGGCGCAGCCCAGAAGGGTCTGGCTCGGGTCTCTGCCGCTGTGGACACTGGGGGGCCAAAATAGCGAAGGCATCCCGTGTGGAGCTCCTCCTGACCGCCTGTTCTCTCGCTGGCGTGAGCCCCTTACCCCACGCGGTTCAGCGGGTGCACGATTACAGGCTGGCCCAGGGGGGCCCTGGCTGCCGCCTGGGTGGAACCCCGCAGGTGGTCCGGAGTTGGGGGTCGCCGCCGCTGGGAGCGTGCCGTCTGCAGAGCCGTCTTGCCCAGGCAGCCCCTTCTTCCCCTGGCTGGACGGGGCAGCCCGCTCGGCCATCCTCTTTCCCGAGCACCATGAGGACGTCACCCGCCATTGTTAGAAATCTCAGCGCCCTCTTCTTGCCCCATGTGTTGCCTCGGGCACCACGCAAGGTGCAGCCTCTTGCTTTTCCTCCTCACCCGACGTTATGCACCAGCAGGAGTGCTGCCTCCTCCAGGAAGCCCCTCTAGATTTCTTCCCCACCGTGGACATGCTAAGAGGGGACAGTGCGGTTCCTTGTATCCTTCTCGCCTGTCCTCCTTGTGATTCCTTTCTCGAGAGTCAGTTCGTTCCAAGTCACTGAACGGCTTTTAAGATGCTTGTCACTAGAAGCCAGGGACACCCCCACATGCTGGATTGCCCCCTGCCTCCACCACCCACTTTTTGTCTGTCTCATTGGCCAGCTCCTTCTCTTGGGGTTTGACCGTCAACTCAGCGCCTTTAGACCAGGGGTTCTCAGCAGGGCCACTGTGCCTTCCAGGGGGCACTTGGCAACGTCCTGGGCTCCGTTTTGACGGTCACAATGGGCAGCGGCGGTGGATTGCTACTAGCATCTCGTGGGTGGCGCCCAGGGGTGCCCGCACCCGTCCCACTGTGCCCAGGACGGCCCCCACCGCAGGTGCGGTGGGGTCCACAGTGTCAGCAGGGCCGAGCACGGGGAGCCCTGCCCTGGACCTGGCCCCCCCCTCCAGAAGGGCAGCCGCAGCGAGCGAGGTTGTAGGGCGGCTCCCAGACTTCACCCCCTGAGACCTCTCCCGCTCGCTCAGACCTGGGGGTTTAACTGCCTCGCGACCAGGGAACTTGCTGACGGAGCGGCCGTTGCAAAGTTAACGTGGGTTTCTGCTCCCCTCAGCCTGCCTGCGTCCCAGGCCGTGGCCCCACCTTCCAGCGGCACGCCAACCCCGACGTAGACATCACCCCAGCCCTTTCCTCCCTGTCCACGCGAGCCGTGCGCTGCCGGGGGTGCATGTCCCACGGGCGGCCATGTCCTTGGGACCCAGGGCCTGACTTGCCTCCCTTCTGCCGCCCAGCCCGCCGGCCTGGCTCCCTGTCGGGACCCTTCCCATCACAGGACATTTGCACTGGCTGCGCCTGCAGCCTGGCCCCCCGCCAGCCTCCCCATGCATGGGCTTGGCCACAGAACCCCGCCCCCAAAGCTTCTTGCCCCCTCGTCACTTTATGCTCCACTCCCCAGTTTGGCGGTCCTCGTCTCTCGTCTTAATTGTGGTGCATGCACCGTTCTGACCCCTTCTCACTGCCAGCCCGGGCGGGTGGCTGCCCAAGACCCCAGAGGCCTCCGTGTCCCTGATACCGGAGCAGTTCCAAACGCTGTTTCCATTTTCCGTGAGACGACACAAGGGCTGGTCAGCAGCGAAAGGTTTCTGAGTTGTGCTGAATCTACAAATACACATGTGCGCTTCGCGCCCTGGAAGGTGGCAGAGAAAAACGTGTCGGCCGGGAGAGCAGACTTTTCAGGGACCGGAACAATGGGACCAGTCCTGAATGCGTGCATGTGCTGCACAGATGGGTGCGCCCGATATCACTGTGCTCTGTAAGCAGGCGTGAGCCTGCCATTCACCGGCGACGGTGGTCCGGCCCCCGACGGGGCGGTATTTCAGCCCCTGAGACGCTACCTCAGGTGTCTGCCGGCCTGGGGAGCCGTCGGGAGGAGACTTGCGCACGTTCCCACTGACGTGGCACCTCACTCTGGGTGTTTCTCATTCACAGGTAACTGAAGACAGAAAACAGGCGTAAACGCGCACCCTGGAAGGAAGGAGGGATTGGCCCGCGTTTGGCTCTGAGTAAGTGAAGTTGCAGAAGGGATTTCTTAGGGCACCCTGCGTGTGCTGTGAACCTCCCTGGGTGTTCCGTGGTGCAAAGCGCAGTCCGGCCGCCGCGGCCACGCGTGCTGGAAGCGGCGATGTGCCTGGTGCCTGGTGCCCGGCGCCCGGCTTTCCTCGACGGGGGCTCTTGCGGGCGTCGGCAGGCCGTCGCGCACTTTTGGTGTGGCTGGTGGAAGTCGGAAGTTTCAGCAGACCGAGAACGGAGGTGGTAGCCACCATGGGCAGGCTTTCTAGAAAAGCGCTGTTCCTCATTTCTTTCCCAGTGGGCACTTGAGGTCCCTGCTGGTCCTCAGAAGGCTGATGGGTAAGAAACGGCAAAGGCCCTCGCCAGGCTCCTTTTGTCTCGGACGCGCCTCCCGGCCGGTGAGCGGAAACTGACGGCAGCGGTGTCACTCCTTGGGGACGAGCCAGGATGTCGCGTGGAAACCGTGTCTGGCCCCGTGTGGAGGCAGCGTGGCTGGGGCGGCGGGCCGTGGTGGGAGGGTCCCTCCGTCTGAGCCCGGCCTGGAGCGCTGTCTTGTGGGGGATCCCAGGACGGGGCTCCTGGGAGTGGAGCCGCCGCCATCGCCCATGGAGAGTGAGGCCGATTCTCCCCGGGCCAAGAGCGCCCTTTCCAGACCACTCTGCGTGGGCGATCTTCCGTGTCTGGGGTGACTGTCCCGTGAATCCATTGCTCTGGGACATTGTGCAGCACACAGAGAACAGTGAGACAGGTCTTTGTGGTGGGGGTGAGGTATCACGGGTGTGCGAAGAGGCCGTAGCTCGGACGGGTGTCCTGTGGGCGGCGCGGACGGCTGTCCCGTGGGTTCTGGGGATCGGTGACCGTGGGCGGCGCACACATTCTGCGGGCGGGCGGGCCAGTGTGTGCCGGAGCAGCCGAGGAAGGCGGCCCCTCCTTGGGGGAGGGAGACTTGACTTGGGGTTGCTGGTGTGGCGTTTTGACGCACTGAGAAGTGTGTTCTAGACGGTGGACTCTGGGCAAAGGAGAGGAACCAGGAGTAAGAAAGCATTCTTTTGGGTTTTGTTTTTTTTTCCTAGGGAAAAGTTGGTGAACCAGGGTGGTAGAGTAGTGGCAGGGCATGAAGAGGACACGGAAGTGTCACGAAGAAAAGGCAGGGGCTGTAACCTCGGCCACACCTGCCCAAAGGACACGCCCCCGGGCTCTCTCACCGTGGGAGCCCCACCTGAGGGGCCTGGGCGCACCCGACGGGGGCAGCCCCTCAGTAACGCTGGGGCGCGTAAGGGTGGCGAGAGAACTCACGGTGCCTCATCACCAGCCCCCACGGGTGGAGAAAGAATAGTAAATCATGAGAAAATACCTGAGGCAGTGAGGGACGTGTTGCCATATTTTGATCGCCGGTCTGAGATGGAACTCACATAGCAGCAGCGCCCCCGGTGGAAGCGGTACCAGTTTGTTTCGCACGCTCGCTGAGGTGTGCCGCCGTCACCGCGGTCGATTCCCAAACCCTTCGTTCCTCCCCGCAAATCACGCCCTGGCCGTGGGTGGCCCCTGCCCAGCCCGAGCTCTCGGCGCCCGGCAGCCCGCGGCCCGCTTTCTGGGGAGTCTGTGGACTTGCCCGCTCTGGATGTGTCTGTACATGGCATCGGGACTGACGGCTCCTGCTCAGTGTGACGTTTTTGAGGTCCGCCCCCGTGGTATCCCACGGCGCGCTGTTTCTTCCCCCCGGTGTGTGAGTAGACCGTGTGTTGTTTACCTGCTCATCCGTCAGACCCTGTTGTTTTTGAGGCTTTCTATTTTGAGATAATGTGAGATTCATAACAAGTTGCAAAAATAGTACAGTGAGTGCCAGACTACCCGGCCCGCCTCCCCGCAGTGATCTTACGTGAACAGACCACGTTACCGAAAGGAGGGAATCGGCCCTGGCTGGCGTGGCTCAGTGCATTGAGCGTCAGCTTGCACACTGAAAAGTCACCGGTTCAATTCCCGGTCAGGGACCGTGCATGCGTCACCCTTTCCTACCCACCCCTGGGCTCTCCATCTCTTCAATTTTCTCATTTTAAGAATGTACCCTGAGTGGATGGCTGCAGCACGTGGCCTTTGGCGAATGCCTTTATTCCCGTAAGCTACAGCCCTTGAGATCCATCCAAGGTGTGGTATAGCAACAGCACGTGGCTTTTGAATGCTGAGCAGTAGAGCACCGTGCGGGTGGACCAGAGGTCATCTGCTCCTGCTGTGAAGGGCGCTGAGGACATTTGCCTTTGGTGTTACTGCAGGGAGAGCCACTGGGAATGCACAGGTTTTCACGGGACCGCATGCTGGTTTAGGTCCCCATTGATCCATCACACAGCCGGGGAGGTGGGTGCTGTCCATGCCTCCGTTGTTCCGGCCCAGGGAGCCATGGCCCTGGGAGAGCCGCCGCCTGCGTGCTGTCTGTACGCCCTCCCCGGATACTGTCTACCCCCAGAGGCTCTCCATTCCCAGGCACTTGCCCGCCCTCTGCTACCTGAAGCCGCAGCGAAGCCTCCAAGGTCAGAAGGCGCAGGGATCACGTGGGGCTCCTCTGCCTTGAGGGTCTGGCGCCCGAGAGCGAGCGCTGGCCACGCAGGTCCAAAGAGCCCATGTCCCTGCCCAGCGGAAGCAGCAGAGCTCAGTTTCTTGGTCGTTCTGCTTCCCCTTCTGGGTTCCGCTCTGTGGCGGAGAGAACGGGAATCCCGTTCACAGGTCAGCGCGCAGGCCCCTCTGCACCCAGCCTCGGAAAGCCCCGGAGGCATCGTCCGCGTTCAGGGCCACGGAGGTCCGGAAGGTGGGCGCACGCCCGCTCTGCTGCTGCGGGAACCGCCTGGCTGCCGTCCAGGGGCCGGCTCTCCACCCGCCCTGTCTCCGGGAACTGCCTCGAGCGGCTCTCGCCTATTTCCATTGGGCGTTCAGGTCACCTCAGCAGTGAAAGGTTGGCCGCCCTCCATCCCGACGTCACAGTTGCCATGCACCTGAGGACAGAGGAAGGAGAGGACCAAGGGCGGACTTCGCACCCGACGACCACCTCCTGCTTCCGTCACCTGCTCCGTCTGGGACGTCTGGGTTGGTGGCTGTATCCACTGAGCCTCAGTCTTCTCTTCTGTGCAATGGGAGGCTAATCCCCAACTCCTAGCGTTTCATCCCAATGTACAGAAGTGTACGAGCACGTTGTAGAGTGGCCTGGTGCTCCTGTGCCCTCCTCGAGTCTTTCCCACTTCCCGCCTTACACCCAGCCTGGAAGAGACCGAAAGCCCCGAGATACACTGTTGCTTCGGGACGGCCTGTGGGGTGGGTGTGGCGTGTGCGTCGCCTGCTCTGAGCACTTGCCTTCTGCTCCGTCTCTGATCGCGGTTATTTTGGGGGCCGAGGAACTGGCACCGGGGGTCAATCCTCACCGCTTGTTTTAGTTTTCATTTTTAGATGAGCGCTTTATTTTATTTTAGAAACATCCCTTATCCTGAGCATGCACCGTTAATCAAAACAGCACGCGCCCTTGAACCTTAGGGTGAGCAAAACCTTCTCCGTGGAGATGTTCCAAACTTCACGTATTATTTTTTATTCGTCAAGTCCCAGAAGGGCACAGCGGATCCAGGTAATTGTCTTCAAAAGGTGCCGAGACCCTGAGGGAGGTCACGCCCTGGAACCTGGAGCGTTTTCCCGTTGGAATAAATCAGAACTGCGTCTGTGGTGAGGACCCGCTGCGGGGGTGGGGGGAGGGTCTTAGCCGGCTGTCTGCTGCGTTAAAGATGAAATCACTTGTGAGGGGCGGGGTTTTGCCTTAAGAGGGCGCCCCAGAGGGACTGTTCAGAAGTTCTGGGTGCAGTGGGGCAAGTGCGGTGTTGCTGATCTGTCACGTATCGAAGGCGGTAATGCTTCCCGGGCGCCCCAGGAACCATAGCTTGTTGATTCAGCGACGTGAATTGCGTGTGTATCATCTGGCGGGGCGACTGCTCCTTGTAGCCGCCCACGGAGGAGAAGCCCTTGAGGAAGTGCTGTACGTTCACAAAGTTCAGCTCCTTTTCCTTCCCTTCCAATCTGTGCTTCGTGTTTCATCAGTGCTCTTTTCTTTCACGCAATGTTTGTTCTTCACTTCTGCCTCGGGTACCCAGAATTCCAGGTGGTTGTCCACATACCTCTTTCCTGATTTTGGAGAGTAGTTCTCAGCTGAATGTTTTCCCTCCGAGGGGACACGCGGCAAAGCCCACAGATGTGTCTGATTGTCCAGCCCAGGCGGGCAGGAGTCTTAGAGCCAGAGGGCAGGGACCCGGGGTGCTGCCGAGCATCCCACAGGGCCCGGGACACGCGCTGCCTCCCTCTCCCACCGGAGAATTCTCTGGCCCCCACACATACCTCTGTAGTTTGAGGTTGGCCGGTTGGCAGAGGCCAAAGCTTTGTGTTTCTAAAAGACTGGTCTCCATCCTCTTTCGTAGCCATTTAGCGGCTGCGGGCGTGGGATACGAGGCGCCAAAGGAAGGTGACGCAGTTTGGGTCCCGATGCGCTGACTTCAGTACTCAGAATAACTCAGAAATTTAGAAAAGAGGAAGGGGCTAGATCTGAATTTCTATTCCGAAGTGGGCTTTTGTTTTCTTTCCTTTCTTTCTTTTCTTCTTTTTTTTTTTTTTGCATTAAGAAATATGGCATTTTGTTGTGCATAATGGGCACCCATGTCTTTGGCCCAAACTTTCAGGGGAAAAACCCTTTCGTTTTAAATTTTTTAAAAAATATTTATTTACTTATTTACTTTTAGAGGGGAAGGGAGGGAGAAAGAAAGGGAGAGAGACATCAGCATGTGGTTGCCTCTGACGCACCGCCCCCCTGCCCCCACTGGGGACCAGGCCTGAAACTCAGGCCTGTGCCCTGACTGGGAATCAAACCGGCGACCCTTTGGTTCTCAGGTCGGCACTCAGACCACTGAGCTGCACCAGCCAGGGCTCGTTTTAATTTTTTGATTCAATTTTTATTTATTTATATTTAGATACT